AAAAAAAATTTCTATTAGTAGATTCTTTTTCACTTCGTCATATTTATGTATGATCAAGAATAATTAATAGAACAGTTACATTTGATGAAACCCAAGAAATCTGTTTTACAGATCTCACTGACGCACATTTTTTATGCTTTACAAAATCCTGAATAAATCAATGTTTCATATACAAACAGAGATTAGGATGTCTGTCTCATAATCAGAAGGTATGTGATTTGTATCTCATGAAGGATATCTTTTTCCCTTATTTTAAGGAAAGTTTCATAGAATATAAACTTACCAATAGGAGTTAAATAGGAGTAAGGTGATGTGGCATCACCAGCATCTCGATATGATTTTGATGCATCAAGACGTGCTTTACGACGATAATAATCAAAATTTGGTACTTGAATATCAGTATGCGCATGACGAATACTAAGAGGAGCTAGAAAACGAAAATACAAAATTTAATATGAATGAATAAAAATCGAAAATGTGTGACATACTGCTAAGACCAGTTGTAATCGAAGCTTTTCCACGTAATAAATGTTTATTCATAGAAAAATATGTTTTTGGTGTTGTTGTTTTCGGTACTGAAATATGTGTATGTTCATCATCATGATGATCATCTTCAACTTTCATTGGTATTGGTTTAGCAATTTGTCGAACTAGATTTGTAGTCACTTGAGTGACACGTCTGTTACACAGTTGCATGGCCATATCTGAAAAAAAGTAAAATAAATTCTTTCGCGCCTATTATTATATTTAAAAAAATATGTCTTGTCGTCTCTATCTAATTGTACATATTTGTATCGGTATATTCATCATTGGATTCGAAATTATCTATCGTTGGATAATTCAAACGTATCATATACGTATTCGTACATGTCCAAATGTATTCTATATTGAATTTAGACAATTAAATAATATTCAATCATTAAATTGGTTTGAAAATAAAATAAATAATCTTATTGAAACATTCTATTTAATCAATGATCAATGTTTAACTAAAGAATTGAATTTAAATTTCAATTCAATTTTTATTTGTCTTCGATATTTATGGTTAACTATTAGTTGTTTATATATTTGTCGTGCTTTGAAACATACCATAAAATTAAAGAAATTTATCTAGAAATAAACAAATATTGATTAGAAAAAGTTCCGTTTTTTTTGTCTTTTCTACCAATATGTAAAAATCACTTCATCTTTATTTTCTACAGTCTGAATTTCTATTTTAACAGGAGTTTTTAATAGAGCAGAAAGTATTTCTTCTGTATAACCTATAAGAAAATACATTCGACGGGGATGAATTGTTCGTGTTACAAGTCCACTTAGAATAATCATATTATGTCGTCGTTTTATAATAAGTTCGGATACAAATAATGAATGCCATGTACCATAAATAAATTGACGAAGAAAAAGATCATCACTAACTGTTTCAGCTTTACGTTTTCCATCACGTAAATTTGATGTATTAAATGTATTCCATGTTTTTGTATGACCAATTAATTTGGGAAATTGACGTTGTTCATCTTTTCTAGGCAAATACATTAATGAAATAATTATTTACATTGAAAAAAATAATTTCATACATGTTAAAGGATAATTTCTTTTTCTTGTATGTTTTGGTGTTGCAGCTTCTGTATTAACTTGTGTAACATTTGTTAATCTTACAAACCAACTGTAAACAATAGGACTAGTTGATATAGAACAACGTTGAAGAGAAAAAGTTTTTAGAGCATGTTGAGAAGGTTTTATAAATGTATTCATTTTACGAATGAGAAAAAAAAATGCTAAAAAGTATTTCGGACAAACACAACAAATTCTGTACTTAAACACTTTAAGAAAGAGATTGGATGAAATTACCATTTATATAGAAGAAAAGACTTCGGATGTTTACGGCAAATCAAAACGACTAGTAGTGACATCTAACGATATAACATAACTTATAAGAACTTATAGCATTCTATAATCCATTTGTTGATCTTCAAATATTCCCTAACTTTTTATTAGAATTATGCTTGATCTTGAATTGTGAAATTCGTTCATTAATAGACTAAAAGAAGTAGGATTGAAAACAAATCTATGGTCTTGCTTCAATGTGGCAACAATTAAATTCCTACGACAGTTGATGATTATAAATAGTAGCTTCTGAATCTTTCCTCTGCAGTTTTATGAACAATTAAATATCTGTAAGATTATAAGAGAAGTCAATCTTGACTAACGTAGTTTTATAGATGGTTTTTAAGATACAAATCATTTTTCTACATTGTTCAATTCGTTGATAAACAAAATAATTCTCCTAAATTCGATATTTATAGATCTTAGGATATACAATATGTTTGACATGGTTGTCGATCAATAAAAAGATTAAATACATTAATTAAAAAATATATAGGTATAGTTCCTAATAGTAAACCTAGTTGTACAGTTGCACCATAATAGAACATGCCTTTTTCATCTATCCATTCACTTTTAATGCGATTACCAATTGCAATTCGTAAAATACCGCTGATAAATGACATGATAAACCATATGGTAATAATCATCAGAGCACCTTGTGTTGTATCTGCTAACCATGGACATGGACTTTGTTTTGCAATAATAAATATCAAAGCAGAAAGAAATGCATTAAATATCGATTGAAATATAATCATATTTGTCGATACAGATTTCCAAAAGAGACTTAATATTAATGAAAGTGGATAAGCAATTGGGATGGTAACACTCCAATAATAGAAAGCTGTCTGACCAAAAGGTAACAAAGCATAGGTACTCAGCGATGGTAAACATCCATATGCTATTGTTGAATTGATTGTATTTATAACTAATAATAGTCTAAACACACGTTTTGACATTGTTTTCGTAGATTTTGATGATGTTTGTGATTTTACAATAGTGACCATAGGTTCACTCTCTTCATGAACAATATCTGTATTGGATTTAATTTTCTTACGTTCATCCTACAATATAAAATGATAAAGAACTAAATAGAAATTCACCAATACTTATGAACTGCTTACCACATCTGCAGCATCAGCTAATGTGACTATATTTGTCCATCTAAGTAAAATAAAGGCAATAAGCGATGCAACAATGATACCAGCAATACAAAACATGAAAATTCTAACACTGAAACGTGGTTGAGTATAAGTAGGTTCGAAAATAGTACTGTTGCCCGTCTGTATACATATTGTTTCACCTGCTACACCTTGAGCAAGTATTAATATGGTAGGAATTGCTGATGTAAGTGCTTCACCTAAGAAGGCAGCTTGTAAATATTGTGCACGAAAACGTTTCATATAATCGAAAAAAAACAAGTGATGATGTACAGTCGAGCATTGATAAAATGAAAATACAACTCAATAGCCATATACTTCGTTCACGACCAAATATAAATATTGTCCTTTGCCAAAATAGAGCAAGTACAAAACAAGCAATTACTCCAACAATAATAATAAGATAAATGTAAGGAATTTCAGAGAATTTTTTTCCTTGCCACCAACGTAATATTACAACAATTGCAGGAACAATATTAGCTGCACAAATACAAATTGCTGCTATGGATGGTAATGTCCATCCTTCTGGAGTATGCGGAATAATAAGAGGTATTTCAACAAATAATCCTTGTAAATCGATCCAAGCACTTAAATTCATAATAGCAATTAATACAAAACATGCAGTTTGAGCCCATCGCACAGATGTAAATCTATAGATAATAATATTTTTTAAATTTTATTAATTAACTGATTCTAAAATTAGCTATAGGAAGTAAAGTAAGTGACGACACTATTCCAAAAAAAAAGAAGTATTTTCTAGTACTTACTCTTTTACGGGTCCAAT